CCCCCCCCCCACCATAAACCCAAACAAAGGAACAAAAGAAAGTTCAATACAGATCATCTTGGTCTCTAAAGCTAAGATTCTTAGCTAAAACCTCCAGGAAACAGAATTAAAATCCACTGAGAGAAAGCCATGTTATGATTTTAAAGTTAGTAGGCCAAACTATTGTTATGTAGATTTTCTCATTTTATATAGCCTCAGGAAGGATTACACCTTAAATTAACTGTACTTGTTGAGAGATGAAAGCCATTTTTATATTGATTGAAATTTCCTGGGAGAAAATTTATGACAGACGTATGCCTTTCATATGCAACATTTTTCTTGCTCAATGTGCTTTCATCTGGGGTTAAAAATGACCCCAAACTTAATGCTCTTTTTGTTACCACAGGATAAAACGTTAACATTCAAAGTGGGAGGGGTATGGCAGGAGTTTGATGATGCACAGGTGCCCTCCAGTGCCGTGCCATCGGCCTATGGACACGAGCAAGCACAATATAAAGAAAGGATGGGAGAAGAGTCCCCGTCAAAATCATTGCAGCTTTGGGGAGTCTCTAAATCTCAGCTGGCCTACATACCCTGGCTTGTAAGGTGCACAGGCTTGCCTCTAAATTTTTAGGTGGAACTTTGGAGACAGCTCTGTACTTTGGAGGATACCTAAAAGCTCAGCATGGCTGCACATATTAGCCCCATAATTCTCAGGAGGAGATAGGTGAGAGCTAGGCTCTGTAGTTATGTTTGGCTTAGATGGAAGCCAGGGCAGTGTGATTGCTGCTACTGGGGTTGCCAAAAGGCTAGTTCACGGTCAGAGATGAACCGCTGCACAGTTCTCACTTTTGGGCTGGATGGCACAAAAGCACTAATTCAAATAAATGACATGCTTGTCACTAATGAGCTTGCAAATGTATTTGTGAATCTGTGCAGCGATGCAGTTGATACTTGCTTGCCATAATGCAAATGCTTGTTTCCCCTCTAATGGGAAGAGTCAAGCTCCCTTCCACCTCAGTTTGAAGCCAAGTACACAAGTGCACCCCAAGTATACTATGAATGAATCTGGCCAGCTGCCATGACTATTTTTTAAACTTTTCTGCTGCATTAATGAGGTGTCTTCATGTGCATTTTGTTTCAGTCATCTCCTTCCTTTCATTTTGCAGAAGAGAGAGTTTGATGTGGACAGTCTCAGCAAATCAGAACTGAGGATGCTTCTGAGCATTCTAGAAGGGGAGCTGGAAGCACGAGACCTTGTGATCGAAGCTCTGCGGGTATGTTCTTGGTTGGCTCAATGCTTATTTTCTCCTATATCTAATGAACAGTTTCATTGCATTGCCTTGTATTATTTTACCTAAACCAGGAGATGGGAATACTTTTTAGCTGAAGGGCCACATTCTCTTGGAGATAAGCTTCTGGGCACTGCTGGCTAGCAGGGGCCAAACCTCACAGTGAGACGCTACAGACCCAAACCCCAAAGTGAACAGTGCCAAAGCCATGTGCACACCTAATTCATTTATATACACATGTGCGCTCCTATGCACACACATGAGAATTCTTCCCCCTCCTTCATGCACTGTAATTAGGCTTTAAAAAATCCCTCCCGTTGGCTCCAGTGGAAACTTAATATTAAGTGGGAGAGGTGAGAACTGGAGGTGCAGGCCGAATGGGGATGCCCCATGAGCTTCATCCCACCTGCAGGCTGCTGGTTCCCACCCCCATCCTAAAGCCACTGGGACTGTTTAATATTTATTTCTGACCCATGAGACCTTCTTTGGCATCCCTGCTTCAAGTGCCAGCATTTTGTTGTGCTGAGTCAGCTTCCCCAGTCAGATGCCCTCCAGATGTTTTGAACCACAGCTTCCATCAAACCCAGCCAACCTGACCAAATAGTTAGGGATGTTCCAGGATACCTAGAAGGCACAAGTTTGGAGTAGGCTGTGGTAAACTGACTGACTTTTCCCTTGCACCCCCAGTCTTATTGAACTTCCTCCCTAATGAATCCTTCCAGCGCCTGGTAACACGTCTGAATGCTTGTTTCTATACAGAAAAAGGGAATTCGCATTTTACTTACACAGGTTTTCAGTGACATGTAATTTTGTTACTGTTTCTTCCTCAGTTTTAGTGACTTTTCACTTGCATTTTATGGGTCATGCAAAAACCCATTAAATGAAGTACAAAAATTCAAAAAGATCGCCCTCTGCCAAAGAGGAAACAGATGTACCACAGTTACCACAAACGTTAGGATTATCAGACTAATAAGTGGTAATTGTGTAAATAGATATTGCCATGATGAGACTTCTAATAGTTTTAATTATTTTTGAATTGTATGTTATGACTGCCATCCTATGGGCCAGAAATGGGCAACCTGTAGCCGTCCTGATGTTTCGGCCTGCAACTTCCATTGGAGCATGGAACCAGCATACCCAGTGATGAAGGATGTTGGGAACTCTAGGCCAACACGTCTGTATGGACACAAGTTGCCCACTCTTGCTACAGACACTTACCTGGGATAAATGGATTGAATGTTGTGAGATATATTTCTGAGTAAATATGCATAGGATCGTGCTGCTAATTTCTGTAACTATTGACAAATGAAGCTGTTTATAACTGGTTCTGACTGATAAGCTTCTATGAATAATCACATGTTATAGCTTTCTCAATTTTCTTGATGGGGGTAAAATAGACATTATTTTAAGTCTTCATCTGTCACCTACATTTTTTGTTCATGTGTACTCTGGAATAGGTGCAGATCCAAATCTTTGAAGTCTTCTATTCACCCACCTCTATTCACCGCCCCCCCCCTCCACACACACACACAGAGTGAAGTCTCAATTGCATCTATGAGAGAGAGGGAGGGAGGGAGGGAGGGAGAATGAGAGAGAGAGAGAGACGCATTGCTGCAAGGCACATATTTAAAGTAATGTCTGTTTTGGCTCTCAGAGGGAATATCGGAGAAATGGGGGCTGAGTGTATGTTATATGTCACTTTCCAGAGAAACTTGTGCTTTGGGATAGCATAATCGTTAGCCTTGAGTCCCTGTGTGTTTTGTAGTATTCCCAGTTTAGCAGACTGTTTACATTAATGATCACATGAATTGGCAGGGAAACCAAGGAAAATAAAAAACTACACAATGTGACAACTACACCATTGTCTTGTACACACTGATGAGATCAGCAATCCTTCTTTGCAGGCGATCTAATATGACAGTTGCCACAAGCAGATGAGAGAGATATTTTTCATAGTGCAAGCTGTGAATAAAGAGCAGTTAAGCATGAAGAATCTGATGCCTCTGCGTTTGGGCTCCAAGAAAGGCGACATTCAAAATGTATTGCGCATGCCCTGACTACTGGCGGGCTGTGTTAATACTGTGGGCTGTGTTAAAATATGGATGGTGCTGCTATTTGTTGCTTGTGGCAGCAATTCTCTGAGTGGCAGGAGAGATTAAAAATTACTCACAAGCAAGCAGACAAAATTGAAAATTGATTTTTTCCCTTTTGCTTTCCCTTTCTTTTGTTCTCTTTTGTTTGTTTGTATTTGAGACTTCAATGTGTCACAAGTGCTATCCTAACACAGGTGGGGCTAGTTTGTGTGCACAACATGTACACAGACATATTGTACTGGTTAGTTTTCTGAATGAATTTATAACATTATGCCAAGCCAGATAACAAATGTGGTGTAATGTGGGATAATGGTTGGAGCAGCGTTCCCATAAGCTGATGTCCTTGAAAAGGGTTGGATGCCTGCTTGTCAAAGTTTGCCCACTGCCAAAGGCCCATCTGCCACTGCCAGCACAGAAGTCTGTTTTCTCAAATTCCACAGATCCAGAAGGGTTGGAGGGACTGCTTTCTTGCATAGAATCATAGAAACATAGAATAGTAGAGTCAGAAGGGGGCCTATAAGGCCATCGAGTCCAACTCCCTGCTTAATGCAGGGCCATAAGTTAAAGCATCCCTGACAGACGGCTGACCAGCTGTTTCTTGAACGCCTCCAATGTGGGAGAGTCCACAACCTTCCTAGGTAATTGGTTCCATTGTCAGGAAGCTTTTTCAGATGTCCAGCCAGAATTTGGATTCCTGTAACTTAAGCCCATTATTCCACATCCTGCTCTCTGGGATGATTGAGAAATGATCCTGGACCTCTTCTTTGTGACAGCCTTTCAAGTACCTGAGGAATGCTATCCTACCTCCCTTCAACTTGCCCAGTTTTTTCCATCTCTTCTCACAGGGTTTTGCTTCCATTCCCCTGATCACCTTTGTTGCCCTTCCTGAACCTTTTCCAGTTTCTCTGCATTTTTCTTGAAATGTGGTAACCAGAGCTGACCCCAGACCTCAATATGGAGCCTAACTAGTACCAAACAGATGGTGATTTGAAAGCTATCCCCCCATTAATGCAGCCCCATCTAGCATTTGCCCTTTTCTGCAGCCACATCACATTGTTGGCTCATATTCAACATGAATATGAACATCCCATGACCGGGTGGGAGGCGAGGGCAGGGAGGGAGTTAGAAAAGTCATGCATAAGCCTTCTGTGTTCCTATACCAGCCTGCCATGCTGACAGCCCATTACCACACATCAGTCCATTAGTTTTGGGAAGGGCAAAGGCCTTGTAGCTTAAGCAGTGGATACTACAGGCATAATGGAACTGATGGAGGCAGAGTGACTCCTTTGGGTACTGCCTGTGGGGTGGGGGGTTTCCCGGGAGTGCTTATTTTCTGTGGGGATGCTGCTGTATACAAACCTTGCTCCCATACTGAGCTGGATGAAGCTCTTTGACTTGATTCTTATACTATAAATATAATGACTGATGCCTTATTTCCTTAACTAATTAAGCCATAAACATGCAGGTTTTGTTTTATATATCAATCATTACCAGAACCGTTTGTTTAGCTTTGTTGCCTTTTTATTTCTCATTTTGTTTGCATTTTAAAAACGCTGTAGGTGGTAAATGAGTATTTGCCTGTGAAAATAAATTTAGATCTCACCTCATGCTCTGCCATGCAAATAATTAGAGAGAAAGGAGATAGATGACACTGAATTCCTTCAAAATTATGGGAACACATGAGCTAAGAATAAATTGCCAAGAAATCACCCTTCTTAATATTTATTGCAGAGTTAACACCAGGAAAACCTTTAACAGTAATAAGTTTTTTTTAAAGTAGCCCTAATGAGGGGGAAATGTCTCCTTGAATAGCCAGGAGAATTGTTGGTTTATGAGATGGCCATACTAAATTACTCAGCCTCTGGTGCAGTTAACTTATAGAGCAATTCCAGGTGGAATCAAAGTAGGGAATGAAGTGACTATTTACAGTGCCCTGCTGCAGGCAGGCAAAGATTCCAGACTCAGTTCCCCACAGCGCTGGTGGTGGTGAGGAAGTTTTAAATTTTCTGCCTGCTGCTTACATCAGGAATGCAAATAACTCCATTTGAGGGCCCTTCTATGGTCTCAGTCCTAGGAGTTTCATAGGGGAATGCTCTTACCTTGGATATAAGGCTGTCTCTACCCAACCCCATGTAGGTCCTGGGAAAACCACTAGCAGATTTATATCCGTGAAGGTTTCCGTGGGTCTCCTCAGGTCCTCTGTGCCTAACATGTGCTCCTCACAGGTAGAGTTTTTCTCTGACAGTGGAGGGGCGCTTCTACTCCATCTGAACCCACCTTCCCTCAGGATGGCCACCAAGGGTTTAGGATTGCTCTCTGTCTGGAATCAACCCAGTATCACTAATTCAGTTCAGGATATGCTCAGCAGCTAGTGGACCCAAATGGGAATGTGCCTTCCTCCTTATTGCAAAACAGTATCATTGCAGTGCATGCAGAAGCACAACTGTGTCCTCACTGACTATGTCAATGAATGCAGCAGTGCCTCTGGGTGCCCCTCTAGACTCAGGTGCTAGACGGCAGAAGGGCCACAGCTCATGGATCATGTGCTTGCATACAGAAGGTCCCAGATTCAAACCCCACCATCTCCAGGTCGAGTCAGAAAAATTCCTGCCAGGAACCCTGGAGAGCTTTTGCTGCCAGTCAGTGTCAACAACACTGGGTCTTAGAGAATAACCTAGGTTCCTTTTGGGGGTATATTCCTAGAAAAAAGGTATGTTTTCACTCAGGCACTACATGTTTTGTGGTGTTTGCAATATAGACTTCTCTAAGCAAATACTTTTCCTTGAGTTTGAACAGACTGGAAATCATTCAGGATAACTGGACAGCAGTGATAATGTTTTTGCTGAAACACAGGGAAGATATCAGTAGAGGGCATAGAAGGTACACACCTCC